CTGAGCTAGCTCAAACTCAATTTGGAGTCTTTATCACTTCCACAGAAACAATCTTCTAGCCAACCCACTGGTTAACTGTGACTTTTATTTTCCAGTAACATCTTTATGTTCCAACTCAATACCAGGTATAGATCACCAAATTAGCGACAAGCTTTGGGATCAGAAATTATAGAATAGTCAGAACATTTAGCAACTCGAAAGCTTTCCCCAGAACCTAAGCTATGGGAAAGGATAAATTTCAGTAATTCTGACATGTAAAGAGATGTTCAAATACAGAAGCAATGTGGCATTGCTTGTAGATTGCCCTGAATTAAGGAATATTGCATGCATCTAACAAGAAGAATAATCCACTAGGCAGTCTGCAATATAATATATATCAGGGTAAGAATAACTATCCAAAAACCCTGGCCAAAATCAGAATGGCTCAGCACATGGGCTTTCAAGTTCTCTATCTTTTTACCTCCAGTGTTGGAATTACTGTATTAAACACTACTGAACACTGTCAAAACTCATCCTGTAATAGGCAATCAATATGCCTGTGGGAAAAAAATAAAAATCTCCAGTTCCAAAATCAGAAACCATCAAACATTTTCACTAAGTGAACACACAGTCCACAGTCAATATTGTTATTCTAGCTGGGGGAGCGGAGTGTTTTTCCCATCACCACACTGGGCACATGGAAGGCAAATGTACACTGAAGTAAGTATCTAATTTCTCAAGCCAAAATGACAGCAGAGGAGCAAGGTGCAAAAATCAGAAGTTCCTCAACAGAAAGGATAAGATGTATTTTTGTTCATTTACTATTTATAAAAAGCTAAACACATACAAAAAAAGTGAGAATGAAATAATTGGATGAAACTGATTTATGCTGAACCATACACAGGACAGCAGAGCAGGCCTCAGAGTAGATTTTTCCATTTATTTCTCCTATTACTTTCCTAGTTTTTCAGGGATTAGCATGAAGGCAAAAAGATAATAGCTTTAAGACACTTATTAAGCTTTTTTTTTGTTTCATCAGGTACCATAAACATATCCCCAAAGATTAATTTTTGAAAAATACTTAATTTCTACAATGCTTACACAAAATACTGAAATCTTACTTGAGCAGTTCGTCTCTTTCAGTCTTGCGGGCAAACACAATGTCACTGCATTTGTTTTGGAATTTGAGCAGGATTTCTGTCAGCTCATTGTAAAACTAGCAAAGAAAAAAAAAAAACCACAAAACCACACAACATGCTCAATCAATACTCGCAGACTCCATACTAGTATATTCCTACATATTGATCCAGTTATAGACACTGTTATTACAGTGTCCAGAATCTGCAATTCTAGTAAAATTTGCTAGTGCATTTTATTTTGCTTTTCAAAAACAAATATTAGCTTGCTGTTGTCCCATAATATACAATTTTGGGTGGTTATCTATCTCTCTCTGTGTGTGTGCCTAGCAACATAAAAACAGTTCAAGATAATTAGGAAACGTATTAAAATCAGTGCAAAAATAGATCATAACTGCTGATTAACTATTTAAAGTATATTTTTTCTTTTTAATTTTACTGCCTTCAGTCAGTTCCACATATTTCATTTCTACAAACATATAAGAGTTCTCTATTTCCATCTAGTGAGCTATCAATAAAACCAGCAAAAAATACTTAACACAAGAGCAGTAAGAGATCTGCCAGAAGTCCAGATGAAAAAAAAGCTAAATAAAGTCCTCCTCATCTCTCCTCACATATGCAGCAGTAGTACATAAACCAGAAATTTGATAAGGTGATTGAACAGCATGGGAGAACAGAAAAAAATTCCTCAGAAAAAATGGCTCATCTGGGTACTTTAGCATCAGTTACTCAGCTTCAATTAACAACTTTACCTATTTTAACACATAGGAATGCTCAGAAAAATCTTACTTTTCAGACAGGAAGAAAGAAGCATTTCACAGCTGTCAAAACAATCAAATTTCAAGCAACTAGCTGTCCTCACTTCAGTAGTAAAATTCTCAACAGCGTACCCCGCACCTAGCATGTCTGCAAAGGTTTTTATGATTTTTGATTCACGTCTCATCAAATAAAAAGTTCTTCCAAACCATCAGCATTACCATACCTTTGTGCCTTCTTTCAAATTGGCTACAAGTTCCACAAAGTTGTCATTCGCTACCGCTAAGTTCTTCAAAACTTCTTCTCTTAAATTAGATTCGTTGTTTGATTGTTTCATCTTTGAAAAATCCTGATGCGCATTCTTAAAAGAAAGGATGAAAATAAGCAGTGAAAATAATGCAAGCCAGTGCCATGTAAGATTCTGTATATTTACTTCCCCCTCCCCTTACTCACTGCTTCTATCCCTTTCTCCCAAAACTTGCCTTTCCTCACCTTATGTCCACATGTTGTACTTTTCAATACTTGCTGTCTGCCCAGTGCAGCGGCTATTTCAGAACTATAAATATCTAAATTCCCTGGCAGTAAGTATCAGCTCATTACCTGTTCCCTTCAGCTAATTCGCAAGTTTGTCTTTCACAGGCTGGGCTAATTAGGCTGTCTCCTGCACCACCCTCTATTGATATTCATAAAAATCATATGGAAAGTTAGTTTTTAAGAAGTACTACCTCAACTTAGGTTGACATTGGCAAGCTACTAAAAGGGAAGCTGAAAACTTACTGAAGGATCACCTACATCTCATTTCTTCTGGGAAAATAAACAAGAAAGCAAACTCAAAAAAAGAGTACTCTGGCTGCCAAAATCAGCCAAACTTGAACTCCAGGACATTCAAACTTCAAAATAATACCCATCAAGATTTAAGAAGCATATAATACATCTGACCATATGGTCATTTAGGAACAATTTTTGCCATTTTGGAAAAGTATCTTATTCTTGCAATCCAATGTTGTGCACAAATAGGCCCTATCATTACTCAAGCCCCTGTTGTCACTTGTCCCAACACTGAGACTTCCTCTTCTGCCAGATGTTTCAGGTACTCGTGTCTAGCGTTACTGACAAATTAAGGCTGAATTTATGAATAAACTTTGGGCAATTCTCACTGATTTTTACTTTTATGAGCTTTGCACATGCTGGAAGTCAAGCACATTGTAAATAAAAATTAGGAATAAACCAAAATGTATTTCAGAGACCCAAAATGTCTTCTAGCAGACACTAAGGACAGTTTATCTGTTATCCCAGAAAAAGGTATTAAGATGGGATGAGGGGAAAAAAAAAAAACAAACCACAAAACAAACCCCAAACCTTCGTAATGCATCAGTTAAGTTTCTTTCAAGGGCAAAGCCATCTGCAGAACTGAGCCAATAAAAGGGCCAAGAGAGTTTAATACTGGAGCTTTGGGAGAGTCTGCTAAAAAATTTCACATTTCTTTCCACTGAACACAAGAAATAGCCCTGTATTTTTCAGGGATGCAAAGGTTACAGAAATATCAACAAGCCTATGACAGAGTAACAAGGAAGACAGCAGAAAACTAAGTGCAATTTCTAAAGCACTGGTAGAATCCTTGTTCCTGATTTTAAGAGGAAGGAAGACATACAAGGTGTTGTACCTGAATGTTTTTGAGAAGTTCTTCCTGCTTTTTTAGGGACTCTTGCACTTTCTGTGTGTAACTCCCATAAATCTTGTCCAACTCCGTCACAGAGATAGCCTCCTCATTTATAGCGCCATCCTGCACAAGCGCAGTCAGGAATTTGCTGGTCATGTCGAAATTCACAGATTTCAGGTCATTTTCCAATTGCTCTCTCTCCTTCTTAACTTCATCCAGATTGGCTAGCAAAGTTCTTAAGACATTAACAACCTAGGCAATAAAAACTGCCAGAAGTTAGCAAGTTTAGAGGAATTAAGGCAACATTATTACTCATTTCCATCTCACACTCCTCACTGATGCTAGCAACACCACTGCCTGAGTGTTTATAAAACGACAAACCAGGACAAAATGCAATGAAATTAAGATCTTCAAGCACTTCTCAAGCTATGCTCTCCTCTAAATTTGCTTACATTAATAACATTGAAATACTACAAAAATTTGTAATCCTACTTTTTTAAAAAAAAAACAAACTGATCAGATACCATCTAATAGGATATTCTAAAAACAGCAGTCAAAACCACTGACTTCAAATCACTCCTACAAGAAAAATAATCAAACTGCTGTAGATTAGTCTTTACTTTCTTGGAAAGCTAGCTGGTGTAATTACCAAGTATTTTAAAATAGTGGGCAACATCTTCTACATTGCCTAATCGTCCCAAGAACAGAGCACTACACCTCCATCACCCCACATAACCAAAAAGACAACTTCTTTCCCAAATGTTAGTTAAAATCTACTTGAGTATAGTTTTGTTTCACTTTGCATGAGTAAATCCAGTCACCACAGACAGCAAGACTGGCTGACTATTATAAAAGGAGCAATCTCTGATTACTATGTTAATTCCTGGATAAACTGTGACAGAAATAAGAACAGCTGAGGATCAACTTCCAGATCAATTCACCCACGAGATTCCACATCAATTACTCCACTAGATGGACAGCACCTCTATTCAAAATAAGAGACATTTGAGTGTTTTACCTCGCTGCCTTGCAATGTTTTTGCCGGGTTGGCAGAAGGAATGGCTGCGTTGAGTTCCGACTCTGGCTTACACAGAAGGGCAATCGTGTCCCGGTGAGCCTGGTACCGCTCCTTAACTTGGCCATCTGCTTGCACAGCTCTGTTCAAAATACTGTGGTAATTGGCTCCCTCTGGTGGTACAGAAAAAAAGAAAATGGTGTTTATATAATTTCTAAACTTGTTTACCTTGAACCAGACCAGTTTTTATGCTTTTTGGCAAGTCTTCGTGCATTTTTGAGCTTGTACATTATGATTTTATTAATACTGATGTTTTCAATATCACACCTCTATTCTCCAGAAAATATATGAACAAACATTAGTTTTAAACTCCTGTAACTTTGCCAAACTAAAGCAACAGGATCAGTCCCTTGTCTGCTTTAAAACAACAGGTATTAAGTGCACGGAAGACATGTTACAGCGATGGCCCTAAGAAGTTAGACTAACTGCTAAGGAAAAAGAAACCAAAATAAAACATCAAATCAAGGAGAAAAGAACACCTTGATGGAAATAGGGCAGCAAATTATGGGCTATCACATCACCTAAACTCCAAATAATGGTGCAGATCTCTGGTATTTTAGCATAACCTCTCCTCAACTGGAGTTTTTATCTTTAAGGATAATCAGAGCACAGAAAATTACTTTAATTTACACATCAAAACCAGACATTTTGAAAGCATCCCCAGAAGCAGGAAACATGAACTTCACCTGTCCTCAAAGGCTTGTAAAGCTCGTTGGATGGCGTCCTCTGCCAGCGTTCTTTGAATTTTGTTCGCAGGTCATTGTCTGTAGCTTCTTCTTCATCTAATAACCTTAGTGACTACAATATTAAAATGTTACATGCATTATAAGCCATTCTAAACATGGAACAGCTATAAATACATAGTTAATGTAGAAGATACAGAAAATGCTTATACATCCTTTATTTGCCAAATGAATTTTATAAAAGTCAGACGTGAAAGATAAATCACACAAATTTCTTTAGAATTGTCCCCCCCAATAATTTTATAACCAAAATATTTGTAAGAACATCCACGTGTGACAGTACTGTTTCTGTATGGAACAAACACTGAAGTAGCTTATTATTTGTTTAAGTTACAAGTGTTTTGGACAATCATGCACTTTTTCCATTGCCATTTAAAGAGAAAAAGTTCAGTGACAGCATTTTAAGAATCTTTTGACATTAGCAGTTGTTGAGCTTACTTCATCTAAAATTTCTTTGTTCCTTTGTAGCAGTTCAGGCAGATCTTTGATGAGCTGATCAACAGTCTGAATGCCTCCCTGTTCAATCACGGACTTCGACTTGTTCAAAATTGACTGAGGAACGGTATCGCCAGACACGTCTTCGATAGCAGCAGGAAGATTGAGGGAAGCCAACACGCTGGAAAAGTTAACATATTAAAGAGCAACTTATTTGTAGTGTTAGATGGTTTTATCCTGTAAATAACAGTGCTATCCAAACAAAGAGAAAAAAAAAAAAAATCACACAAGGAATTATAATGGAAACAAGGTATGACAATCCTAGACAGAAATTTCAAACTGAAAACTAAGATTATTCCTAGTGTATATACCTCACCAAAAAAAAGCTTCAAAGCTTTCAACAGCTAAACCAATCCCAGTCTTCTGGGACTTAAAAAATACCGCAAACATTTTCAGTAGTGTCTATCTGGTAGATAAAGAAACAACTGACTTGAGTTACATTCCCACCTTTCAGCTTGATATTAATATTTTCATCATTATTTACCTTACTGAATGAAATCTTGAGGGAAAAAAAAAAAATCATGTGTTGAGTCACTGGTATAATTAAGCTGATCATCGGAATGAAAAAATCCTTTTAGATTAGTAGAACTGGAGTTTTCTCTGAGCAAGTGTCAGATTCCTTAAAATGAAGAAAAACTGAAGCAAATTAAAGTACTCTTCATTCTTAATATGCTTTCAAGTCTTAACATCTGCAGAAAAGCAGTTTCTTGCAGGCTGCAAGGCAACTAGTGCTTATAGGCTGTTCCGCAACATCTCTCGATAACTTTAATGAGCCACACTTACCCATTTGCCAGATTTGTGGCTTCTCTCATCTGGGCTATTGACCTGTTGACTAGATCCGCCTTCCTCTGGTTACAAATGCTCACAGATTGCTGTACTTGCAATGGAACCATCTTCTCAAACAGGTCTGCAATTAGAGTAGTTAAGTGACTCAAGTTGCACTGCGAAGGTCAAAGGACACACACACACACACACACCTTCATAGCTCTTTGGCAGAGGTTGCACCAAGAGGCTTATCCAAACAGATTAAGGTAGTCCCCACCGCTTCCCAAGACATCATAAAAAATAAACAACCTATTTCTACAGGTCTTTCGATTAGGTTTCAGTTTTTAAGATCGAAATTGATTTGAAAATAATTTAAAAGGATTATATTTAAAACAATTGTAGGATAGCAAATCAGATCTGCCTTGCAGCTTCAGTTCTAACTCTGCTACTTTAAAGGAAGAAAATGACAAAGGGAAGAGTGGATCATTTTTCAGTTTATTGGCTGTACCAGGGAGTTCTGAAATTTTTCAGCTCTATGGAAGGCCAGCAACTAGGTTAATTAAGACTATACAATTTGATACTCTTCTATCAGTGTTCCTTCTTAAATTAAAAAGGTTGTTTTAATATATAAAAATAAGGTTACTGAGAAAATGTAAGGGACGGGCACCTTGCACACAGTGATTGTCAACCTGTGATTTATTCTTCCAATACTTTTTAACAACAAGTAGTAGAACAACAAAGTGGAAAGGACAATTGCACTTCCAGAAAAAACCACTGCTGCATGCTTAATTCAATTCCAAAGCAGAACACTTGCTTTTTAGTGGTACAAATGAAACTTTGGCAGCCCCATGTTTCACAAGGTAAAAATCACCCTGTGTGCTCCACCCGCTTCGCTTACCAGTGAATTTCTGACTGAGAGGAACAACAACCGGAGTTGACTTCACAAGACTGGCTTTTCCGATGGACTCCAGATCTTTCAGGTCAGGAACTCGGTCGTGGTAAATGAAGTCATTGTCTTTTTTAGCAGCTGTAAGGGCACGGTTGATTTTGTCAACCAGATCTTTAATGTTGATATATTCATCATAACGAGAGGCCACTGTTTTCACCAAGTCTGCTGCGTGCTAAAAATAATTAAGATAGTTAAAATTAAAACAGTAACTTCTGTTTTCTCCCCTTCATACATATATACTTAAGAAAACAGACAAGTTTCCTGGTTACCCAAGTGACTACTGCCAGGACGTATGATCAATATTATTATTTCCTTAAGACAATATTATCCCTTTGATGTGTCAAAAAGGAAAACCACAATTTTACTTATTAAAAAAAACAAAAACAAAAAAAAAAAAACAAAACCCCTGTCCGTTGATTGTACCTGTTCAATCCTGATCACATTTGAGTTACTAATGTGTGGAAAAATAAAATATTAAGAAGCAGTGACAGTCAAAGTGGCATAAACCCACAATTCAAAAACTCAAATTTCTTGGAATTGTGAAGTGGAACTTGAGATGCATTAGAAGTGAAGTATATTTGAAATTTGCTGAGATTTTCTTGCCACTTTCTACTACACCATAAATCACATGAGAGTGGTTTTGGTTTGACAGAATACTACAATCTAACTAGCATTTACCAGAAACAGAGAGAACAGGTATGTGCATATATACTTTAATTTGGAACAATTTACATTATTTTCCTCCCCTCAAATTTAATTCACCTTCGTTCTAGCTTATAAAAAGGGAAATAAAAAGACATTATTACTTTATAGCAACTGCATTTTTTTAAAACTCAAAGTATACTAAGCCTCTCTTTTAGATTAATTATGGAAATAGTATTTTAGTAACTACAGAGAACAGGATTTAAATTTCATTTTACTAAATGTATTAAATGATACAGGATTTTAGTGTCTGACTACAAGTTGCTTATAAAGCAGTGTTAAAACAAGTAATAATGGAGTATTTCCCCTCAAGCTTAATTAAAAAGGAAACAAAACAAAACCCAAAATCATAGAACGGCCTAGGCTGGAAGGGACCTTAGAGATCATTTAATCCAACCTCCCTGTCATGGGCAGGGACACCTCTCAACTAGATCAGGCAACACATGGGGCCCGGGCGGGATCGAACCCACAACCTTGGTGTTATCAGCACCACGCTCTAACCGACGGAGCTAACCGGCCCCTAACTAAAAACTTCAACTACTCAGCATGAAGGGATATTTTCTGTAACACAACATGAAGAAAAATGATCCAAGTCAATAAATGCCCAACTGTAACCTTCAAAACATCAACACTGCAGTCATCAGTAAGTATCTCCACTCGCCTGTAACTCAGTAAACAGGTATTTCATGCAGATCCTACAAAGTCCGTCAAAGCAGCACTTTTTTGCCCCACCAAAGAGCAGAGGACTTGAAGGAAGCAGTTATTTTCAGCTATGTTTTCCCTACCTTACTTACATGAGAAGATCTTACTCATTACACCATCTCTGAGTCGTGCTAGATATCAGATATAGAGGCAAAAAAAGACTAAAAATACTCCTGTTTGTAAGTTTTTCAAAAATTAGTCCCATTAAAATCAAGACTACAGGAAAGGAGTTCAGTATAGACCAGGCAGAAATCTGTTATATTAGCTACACTGAGACAAGAAACCTATGCAAACATAAAGGTGCAGATTTAACACAAACAGTATCAAACCAGCCCAAAATTGTAAAAATACATTTTTAGAAAAGCTACCAAGACACCTCTCATCCTTGCAGTTGTTAATGATTCTATTTATGTGAGAAACATACTCTGTATCTTTTGAGTATGTTTCATTCTTAGTTATATGAATTTTAGAACTCTAAGCGAGTTTTCCAGGATTGTAAGCTTTCCAATTTTTTCAGAGAAGGAAAAAAAAAAAAGTTACCCACCTGCAACCTCCCAATTTCTTCACCAAATTTCTTCTGCTGTTTTGCCAGGATAGATTGATGATATTCTGCATTGGCCTGCATTATGCAGTGCTTTGCAGCCAGAACAGGGAACACCTCCTGGAAATAAAAATACTGACCAGGGGAAAGTCCAACCACAATAATCACCACAGACAACATGGGATGCAGGAAGAAAAAGGAAGAAGAAACGGAAATTAGAATCACCCAATTAATGGTTTAGATAGGTTAAAACATTAGAGGTAAATGTCAGAGACCACATGACTTTGCACGGATTGAACGCAGAGCCAGTCTTTGTTTTCCAGTCTGTGGTTGCCAAATTCTTAGTCTTCATCATTTTAGATGAACTACAACTTAAATTCAAGCCATGAAGTCAACAACATTTACTTCAAAGATTAGAATTGCATGCATATATTAGAAAGGAACAAGAACACACCCAAACATCCCCAAGACAAAGCCAAGACAAAGTGTTTTTAAAAGAAGGGAAAGAAGGAAAGACTGGTTTTGTGGGTTTTTATTTAACAAAGCAATTACACTTTAAAAAAGCAGCTGGTCCATCAGGAAAGTAACTCTAGAATTACGAAAGCAAAGAACCAATGAAGAGGACCAGTAACTATTGACAGGGAAAGCAATTCAAAAAAAGATTTTAAAAGTCATGATAAGATTTTTATATAAATGCATTTATCCTTGCACAAGTACGAATCAAGACAGGAAGAAAACATTATGCTGCAGTCCACAGTATGGGCACGATCTTTGATCACAAATTTAGCCTTACTGTTCTATTTCTCAAATGAAGGAGCACTGAAAAATCCGAGTGATGTTTTAAAGACCTCAGTATATTAAGATCTGCTTCTTCACATTTGTGGAAAATTGCTGCCCCTCCCAGAAATGAAGGATAAAAAAGAAAAAGAAATTTGGAAGAAAAAGCTATCTGGGAGGCCTTACACCTGGAGTCCAACACATCAGTTGAGCCTCTATTTCACACTCCAAAGCAAGTAACTGTTCTCAGAGCTGGTGGTAACTCATGAAAGCAGCAAACCTTATTATGTTCTTTCAGATAATCAATTGACAAATTATTGTGCAACTGGAAGAGGGAGAAAATCTGGGGCTTAGAAAGTGCCACAACAAGAAGAGGCAAAGCAATGACATTATTGTATATCCTTGCCTCTCAGAAATCAATCAAAGTGTAATGACTAAGTGAAAAATTGGCCCAATTCGTAAAATGCCACGGAAAGTGTGAGGAAACGTGTATATATAAAATAATCTATCAATTTGTAGCCAAGTAAGATATCTAAAAAGCATAAATATAAAAATATAAATAGCCAGTGACTGACCTGCAAAGGCATTTGTGTAATTTATTGCTTGAGAATAAAAATGCACAGTTTTACTGTAGTACAGTAGCCTTTACCAATACAATTCCGATCATTATCAAGCATCTATTCTGCTTTACAGACCAGAGGGTACAAAAAAAGAATTACATTATTATTTTCCCCCTAGAGGAGATAAAAGTGCCTTTAGCAAATACTTTGGCAATTATTTAACCAAGACTGTAAACAAAGTTATAGTAGCAAACATCAACCACTTTTATTTTTAATATCTTTACTGGTGATAAATGGGTTTCCTGGGGTATTTTGAGCAAATCAAGTCTATTTAACATTTCATTTTTAACAAGAAAGACCGCTGCAAGCTGGGACAGTTATTTTACAGGATTTTTAAAACAATTAATGAAAAGTAACCACAAATTACCAACAATGGATACTTCTCAGGGCCACTCATGAAAAAAGTGCTATGGAAGACAATCACCTACTTAGCTAAACATAAATTTCGTGAGTCCAACAATATCAAAAGTAAATCTTATCCAACTTTTAAAACACTGCACAAAAGGTTTTCTACTATTTTATGATTTGAATATAACCAATACATTTGATACACTGCAAGCTTGACCATTTTTGACTTGTTATATGGTATATATTCAAAGCACACTCAAAAAAATCAACGAAAGATTCTCCTGCATCTTCTAAAATCAACAGTGATCAAAGAATCAAGACTAAATTGAGATAATTTAAAATTATCAAGATTGTTTTAAGGTGGTGGAAGAGAAGGCAGGCAGGACAGAGGACACACTGACTTCCAGTAACATTTTTCATTAACAGGTAAGTGAACCACCTTACCCATGCTGTCAACATGAGAGCAAATTTCACATGAAAACAAGTCTAGAAGCCAATTAAGCCCCATTAGAAAGTGTTAGTTTGAAAAACTAATTTAGTAAGGCATTAAGTAAGAAGGCATCCCTAAATGCCATTGTAAACATTGCAAGTTCTCTTTTACAGGTTTATTTCCCTTCTATGTAGCAATACGACAGCTTTTCTTGAGGATACATTAAGCATATTTCATAAAATACACTGTAAACAATAACAGTTATTCACAGTAACAGCAGATAACAGATGATTTCCGTAAGTGTTACTAACCTTGGGCAAAGTGTCTTTATATTGACACTGTTTGTAAGCATCGCCATAGTAATCTGCAGCTTGATTGGCTAGTTTAGCTATGATACCATCTTTCATTTTATCTGGGGGAAGGGGAGGGAAAAAAAAAAACCACATAAAGAACAGTTACCATTATCATCAGTTTTTACAAGGAAACAGGCAAATTACTTCATCTCCAAACAGCAACAACTGCATTCTAAGAGTTATTGACATTATAGCTCAAAGGTGGGATCCCATACTTTTCTCTTGACATGCAGCAGCAGTTTCCATATTTCATGACTGAAGTAGAACTCTGACCACTCAGTCAGTTGTAGAAGAAATCTCTTGGCAGCTGCTGGCATTTATGCAGGATCAAGAGTGATGCTTTACCTCAGACCAAGGGCAAGCTGCCAATAAAAGCCACAATGCCACTCTTAACTCTGGCAGCTTATTCCTGGCCCTTCCTTTGTACCAGCACAAGCATTTGTGCAGCCAGAGTCAAAGATTTTAACTGAAATCTAGTCAGCAAACAGTTAATTTTCAGTGCTGGATCTGTTTTCTAGCCAAACTCCACGTCAGGACTCAAAAAAAACCCTTGCAGAACTACAAGAAGAGAGAACTGAGTTGTCCCTTCCACAGCAGTCCACACCACTGTCAGTACAGAAACACCCACTCCTCCATATAAATAACCACAGTTTCCTCCAAGCTGCATCCACTACTTCACAGCAGGGCTACTCCCTGCCTCATGTCCTCACCCTGTTCCTGAAACTAAAACTGTTGGAATAAACCCATGCGGCATCTATCTTTCACTTCTATTTATAACCACCTCTGGCCTGCACCTACAATTCAGCTTTCCAAGGCAGGCAATCGATGCAAACACCAGCCATCCACTCTAAATAGCTGCCCTTACAAACAAGTGCCCTCAGATTCAGGTGATTTTTACGTACTGATAAGCATGAGTGGGGGGTACCAGGAGATTAGGAAATCTGCAAAGTGTGGATTAACAGCCAAAATTAGATCAAAAGAATTCCCAAGAAGTCTGCTCATTCCAGTACATTCACACATCTATCTACAGCACTTCAGGCATGAGCTGTGAAGTTATTTACCTTCTATGAGGTAAATGCATTTAAGGTATGCCACAACACGCTTTTCACCGTGGAAAAGGATTTAGATGACAAATAGAGACAAAGGAGCTTTATGAGATCTAGCAACTTGTTTGCTAAAATGTTTCTGTCCAGTGCACTAAACTTTTATTAAAATCAAAACAAATAAAATCGAAATAGACCATCCTTCTAGCCCCACCTAGTGTGTGGTAGTTGCATCTTCCTTCATAGAGCTTGAGCTCTAAGAAACCAAAAAAGAAAAAAAGACGACACTGGCATATTAGCTACATTTCCATTAACAAAGGAAATGTCAGGAGTCATTTGTCCATGCAGACAGCTCAGGACAGACCTTTCACCATCAGAAGCTTTAGTTTTTACTCATACATCTTTAAACTATTGCAGCTACAATGCAAGCCTTGAAAATGGAAAAGCAAACACATGCCGACTTAGAGACACTTAAAAGAAGACATTAAGAAAAGCTCAGAAATTAAAGAATTTATCTGTAGTTATGCAGTAGAGTTAGACTGACTAATTTGCATTTTGCCAAACACTTCTATAACAAGTAAGAGAATAAGAGATTGCGTATCAAAGATAACACTTTTCCACAGGAAAGTTTTGAAGTGTATGTTCTTCAATAGTCGTATTAAAATACACAGCATTTTAACAGTTAAGGAGAGAATTCTTCATTCTACCTGACAAATTCCCATTTCTGAGACAAACAGGGCACTCTCCAGGTTAGACTGGCTCACAGAGTTCCTTTTTTAAAAACAGGAACAATCTAACAGAATTTATTTCCCCTAAACTCTTAGAAAGTTTCCTTTGTTTCCTAGCACAGTCATATCTTTCTTATTAAACTCTTACAAAATTGTTCCCCAGACAGAGGAGGAGAGGAGTAGCAGCAGGAGTGGTAAAACCCCTAATGTATCATTTATAGTTTTCTCTTCTTTTAGAGAATATCTTTTGCTCTCAGGAGCGGAAAGGAAAAAAAAAAATATAAACCAGTGAAATCCTTTGTAATAATGAAGACGAATGGGTTCAGACATAAAAAGAAAGGAAAGACAAATGGGACGACTGCATTGTCAGGTGAACCTTAAACAAGTGACATCCGGCATTTGCATTTAACAACCTGCAAGGTGGGAGGGAATCAGTAAAGGCAAAAATAAAAACCTCCAAAAGGTCCTTCACAAGCTCTTCATAACTTAAAACACTTGGAAGTCTTTTGTGGAAGATGTAACAAGCACATAAAAACACAAGCAGAAATTAAGATATACCTCTTGTAGCTTTCAAAAAAAAGACTTCTTGGGCTTGAGCCAACATAATAAGACTGAGAGTTCCAACTGTGTCTGGAGAGATGTCCACTGTAGGTTCTCGATTCAAGGCTGACAAAACCGTGTCTTTAATATGTTGAAATGCACCACTTGCAAACTAAGATAAACAATATATTACCAATCATGTCATTCACATTTTTAAACAGCTCTCTCCTACAACAATTTTTTTTAAAAAAAAAACATGCTTTTTTGCTTTTTTTTTTGTACATGGTCTCCCATTTATCATTTACCCACTGAAAAGACTTCTTGGGACTTCCTTTTCTTGAAGCCACTTACACCAACACATTTATCAAGCCAGCCTATGCCATTCTATGATTCTATGGTAAGTAAAGGTATATTGGCTACACCTAATGGGGTAAGGACATAGAAATTTTAATGCATTACACAAAGAAGAAAAATTATTACTGTACAAATTCTTAAAACTACAGTTTATACTAGCTAAAATTGTTAAATCTTTAGTTGAAGGTCATTAGCGACCAACACACATGGGGAACTGTATGGAATTAAATCCTTCAAAGCTGGTAAATAAATATGAGCCAAGACCGGGTACTTAGCCAGTTCCCCTTCACAATTAAGAGGTTAA